AAGGCTGTAGATTCCCACGTCATCCTACGTCAAAGAGGAAGGGAGTAGCTTTTTTCACTGTGCACTTACATTGCGCGCCCATAAGATAGGTCGTATCAGCTTACACGACCCACGATTCTACGTTTTTCACTGCTCCTGCTATTATAGTTATATATTTGAACATTTCACAAAATATTTTATATTCTGCCTTTGGGAAGCAATTGCCCGATGCATCTCGCATGTGGATTTTTCGTACGGCGGGCCGGATGCAGGTCGCAATTTCTCTCGGAAACAAGAAATTCAAGAATATTTATAACTTACTTATAGTTAAACTAAGAAAATTCCCAAAAAAAGTTTAAAATTAAAAAAACAATTAAAATTTAGAAATTGGTTTTTGACCAAAAGAAATTTTACTTAATGTTGTTTAAAAATATGTTCAAACTTAACTTTTCTTAGCTTATTTATTATAGTTTAAATAGAAGATACTTTAATGTCAAAGATAACAAACTTTGCCCTATATTCCATACGACGTTTATTCGCCAATTATCTGCTACACGCTCAGTCACTATTTCCCTTCTAGCTTCGATTATATTTCGAATTGCCATCTTTAACTTTGGGAACATATTCTTAGATAATTTTTAAAGAGACTTAAGCAAAAAAAAACATCGATTGTTTGGAGCTTTTAAAGCAGGCTACCCCATTGATAAAGATACTATAAAAATAAAATCAGAAAAATAAAAGTTGGAATAACTTATGAACGAAATACAAAGAAGTAGATAAAAATTCTACATTAGAAATAAATTCCAAGAAATGTTCTGCTTGGGGATTGTTTAGTATCGCGCCGGTTAAGAATCGTTTATGGAGAAAAACAGGGTYGGGCTAACCCCCCTCCCGACCCCTTATTGGAAAGAGGAAGGATCGAACTTTTAAATAAACCCCCCTCGAGCCCCTATGGACCTGTAGGGAGGCCTTTGAAAATGACCAAAAATCAGTGTTGTTGCTCATTTTTCCATACAAACTGAAACTAATGCAACCCAGCCAACATTTTTGTATGGACAAGAAATCAAAATAAAGAAAGCCAAAACGTTTCAGTGCAATGTATATACATATTTTATTGCATCTATCCTTCGGTCGCGCTTTAAAAAAATAACCCTGGCCGGTCCAACACCGGCTACGCAATCCACAGTATTTTAGCATTGAACACCTTTTCGCGTTCACTTCATACATTTATTGCTAAAAGGGGTTTAATTTATTCCCTTTTGTTCGTGCTTTCTCGTTAATTTGACAGTTCAAATTAGGCAGTCTTTTGGTTTTTCGCATTATTGAACTCATGCGTGGAACACAATGCTAGCGACAGACTGCAGCAGCACGACAGTGAACTGAAAATGGCGTTGTGAATCCTACTACAAGAACGTTTGTGAGAGGGCAGCAACATAACAATGGCCGGCATGTACACAAAACAACTCAGTTGTCCATTTTGCATGTACACAATTTCGTTGTGGCCATACTAATACCTT